TTTTTTTGACCTATCTCCAACATTTTACTCAAAAACCTCACAACTTCTTCGCGTCTTACATTCTTTAACTTCTTCATCTGACTGGTCCCCAACAACTCTTTCGTACAAATTTTCTTCATGAATTTCCAGTAATCCCCATACGGGGCATTGAAAAAGCTTGTTGAGCTTCCAAATAGTAAACTATCTTCAAAAGGGGATTTTATTCTAGAGGTAAAATGGACATCTAGTGCTTTGAAGATTTCCGTGGCTAGTGGAGCGGATGAGACAAGAACAGCAGGATATGTGGCCAAACGGAGATAGAGGAGAGGGCCATATTTATTGTTGAGAGCATGGAATCCTTTGTATGCTACTGGGGTTAATAAATGGAGGTGGCCGATCAAAGGAAGTGTGGGTGGGGTTGGAGGGGGGCAATAACCGGCAGGTTTCTTGCCGGGCCTCTTGAAGATGAATTGAAGAAAGACTGTGATAACCCATAGTACAAAGATGGCTAGGACATATTGGATGGTGATCATGGTGGCCGCTTAGAGAAATCGAGCTGACATGCAATTGGTGAGTATGTGTTTTGAACTATGTTCTTATGTATTTATAGCCAACTCTGCCCTTTACCCAAGCGTTGCATGGGTGGGCAAGTAAGGATGAATAGCGATTTCTTAGGAAAATAAAAAAGATGAATTAGCTTAATTTGTTTTTAAATATTACATATTAAGATTTGATCTAGAATTGAATGGTGAATGCATACGATGTTAAACTATTGATTTGACTATATATTTTGTGATAAATTAAGTTCTTCGAAAGAACCGAAGATAGTGAAGCCTGTACCGTGATAAAAAAATGTAAGTAAAGTACGCAACACTTCTAAACTCGAAGAAGACAGCAGATGATCACAATTTTTTTTTTCTTCTTCTTCTTCTTCTCCTTATTTTTTTTTCAAGATTAACATTTTAAAAAAAATATTTTTTAATTAAAAAAGAATGCATCAAATCGATGCATAGTTTAGAAAAAAAAACTAATCAACCCTTATACCAATAAAAAAAAACACATCTATTGAAATTTTAAGTGATGATTTTGGAGAAGATTATTTAATTATGATTATTTTCTTAAGTTAACCAGGAAAGTTCCTATTCAAACAAATAGGATGATTTGCACCTGGGCTAGTCAATACAGTACTTCAAACAAAGCAATCTTTGAATAATAAATGATGTGATTGCCTGAAATATATGTTATATTAAAATAATATATTTTTTAATTTTTTTAAATTATTTTTAATATCAATTTATCAAAATTATTTAAACATAAAAAAATTAACAAAAAAATTTCAAACTTCAAAAAAAATATAATTTTAATTACATTTTTAAAAGAACCGAAGATAGTGAAGCCTGTACCGTGATAAAAAAATGTAAGTAAAGTACGCAACACTTCTAAACTCGAAGAAGACAGCAGATGATCACAATTTTTTTTTTCTTTTTCTTCTTCTTCTTCTTATTTTTTTTTCAAGATTAACATTTAAAAAAAAAAATTAATTAAAAAAGAATGCATCAAATCGATGCATAGTTTAGAAAAAAAACTAATCAACCCTTATACCAATAAAAAAAAAAACACATCTATTGAAATTTTAAGTGATGATTTTGGAGAAGATTATTTAATTATGATTATTTTCTTAAGTTAACCAGGAAAGTTCCTATTCAAACAAATAGGATGATTTGCACCTGGGCTAGTCAATACAGTACTTCAAACAAAGCAATCTTTGAATAATAAATGATGTGATTGCCTGAAATATATGTTATATTAAAATAATATATTTTTTAATTTTTTTAAATTATTTTTAATATCAATTTATCAAAATTATTTAAACATAAAAAAATTAACAAAAAAATTTCAAACTTCAAAAAAAATATAATTTTAATTACATTTTTAAATAAAAAAAGTCATATTTCTTAACACTCCTACTGATATATAATTTTAATTGAAGAGATTAGTCTAAAATGTCATGTCTTTGCAGTAACATGACTCTCCACTTGTATTTCTTAATTTTCCATATATAAAACATATTTGAATTTTTGAAATTCATGCCATCATTGTTGACAATAATATTTAACAAAGATAATTTTAAGAGTTGTAATTGATTAAGTTTTGAATTTATTTTTTAGAAATTATTAATTCAAATTTCATAAATTTTAGAGTTACTAAAAATTTATATTGTCATTAATTTCAAGACTCGTAGGATTAGCCGAGATGTGTGCAAGTTAACTCGAATACCTACATTAATAAAAATAAATAAAAAATAATTGACAAAATTTAAAATTTAAACTTTTGTTTTTAAATAAAATAAACAACAAAGAATGAAAAATTACTATTTTTTTAACATAAGGAGGGCTAGGATCGAATAAATGATAATAAGACGGGGTTAAACAATGGTTTTTACCTAAATTTAATTTTTAATTTTTCAAGAACAAGATTTTATTTATTTTACCTTAAATAGCTATCAATTAACAGCTTTTTACAGGATTTTTTTTTGATTTGTTGGGATCGTTAGCATGTTTTATATTTTTATTTGAAATCAAATTTAACTACTAATCTTTCTAATTAGTTCATTTTTTTTCATATTTGCATCAATTATATTATTATTATTATTATTATTATTATTATTATTATTATTATTATTATTATTATTTTCTCCATAACATGATACAACGCGAGTAGAATATCCACATATAAATTATCTTAGCTTCCTGTTATACATTAAAATTGACCAAAAAAACATGCAAAACTTGATTGCAAACTAGATTTTTGTATTTGAATGTTAATGATGAATGAAAGATATAAAAAATCAACATGGTATGAAAGTCTTAAAATAAAAAATGAATAGGTACTTACGAGAATTTATATATATTAAATAAGGTAAGATAATAGTTAATGAAAATTATCTTAAATTTTTCTATATAAAGAAGAAAGCAAGACAACCGAGAACAAATTGAACAACTCAACAAAACAACAAAAATTAGTTAATTTCTTTGTAGAAAAAATAGTTGTACGAGAGATTAAAATAGTTTAATTTGTTTTTTTTTCTCTTTTTCTTTCCGGGAGGGATCGTCCAAGTGGTTAACAACTTTAATGGATTGACTTATTCCTTAGGATTGTCTTATTCCTTGAGTTTTTAGGTTTAGATATATTGGTGAAGAATTTATTTAATTTTTCATTGTTAAAAGAAACCAGCGCTGCACCACCTTTAGTGTCTACATTCTTCGCGCTCACAGAAAAGGCCACCAGCCCTATCCAGCAACACTGAATCGTGATGGATCTTTGACTAGATGATGTTAATTTGGGGATCTTGAAGGTGGATATTAAGGAATTATAAAATGCTAATTAATAAGAATAATGGCAACAGGTTTACTTGGAGATGGTGCTTGCTTTGAATGGTTTTCTAAATCCAAAAAATCCTGAACTCTTTTGTTAATTTCGTCAAGATGCATAGAAGTTTTAGAGATTGGATTTTTTACTATTTGTTTTGTTGTGTTTGATCTGTAGAAAACTATGGGTGGGGATTATATTCTACTTGAGAGAAGATGGAAGTCAGAGTAGAAAAGAATTACAATAATAGGAGTACGTACTATCACGGTTCTTGCCCTTGTTCAGGCACACATTCTAGGTTAGGGTAACCTTTCCATTACTGAAAGTTGAAAGTTAAGTAATGTACGTCACCAGATCGCTACCATGATGACTTCAAATCTTTGACTCCCTTTGTTTATTTATTTTTTTTATTTTTTACTGAAAGTTAGTTAATTATTGGGTTATGATTAATATTGGATCTCCTCCAGTGGATTTTGACAGTTGAAAAATGCACCCAATATCGAACCAGGCCACGTGATGCATCCTCTGTTTTAAAAACAAACACGTGAGGCATAGTGATAGCCAGGAAATCCGGTCCTGAGATAATTAAGGAGAGAAAGCGGTGTGAATTATGATTTTTTAAATTTAGTTTTTTATTTTTTAATTTTTTTTAATATATTAATGTAAAAAATAATTTTTAAATGAAAAACATTTTAAATTACTATAATAATAATAATAATAATAATAATACGAGGTTTAATTGCCACACTGTTTAGTACAAGATGATCATGACTGCCGCAAAGCCAGCGATTTGGCTTTTATTGATTCACTGGTAAGCACATTTGTCTTGTCTGTTTTTTCAAGGTTGAAATTTTTTAGGTCCTATCTGCTTGAACGGGCTCGTCATATTATATCCTACCTGCTTGCATTATAAGAAATGACGATGGAATAAATTCATTGACTATTATATATTAAATAAATGAGAAATTCGCTCCTTCTTTTTTAGCAATCTTGTGATACTTATCTTGTACAGTTTATTGAATTATCACGAAAATAATTTTCAAAATAATTATTTATTTATTTATATATAAATAAAAATAGACTTTCATAAGAAAAATAATAAATAAAATCATGGAGAAAATATTTAAAAAAAAAACCATTTTATTCTAGTTCATGTAATTTTGTTAAAGAGCAACAATAATAATAAAAATCATAAAAACTATAGTGATTTTAACTTCACAAAAGAAAATATATATGTTTAATCAAAAACCTTATTTTCTATTTCATAAACTTCATTTTTATTTTGACAAAAAGCATTTTTTTTAAGAAGCATTGTTTTTTAAATAAAAACTTATTATAATCTACAATATATATGAGTGTGGCACATAAACAAAATGAATAGTAATTCACCCTCTCATTTAGTTTTTTTAATATAATTTTAGTTTGGAATTTCAATACTAAAATTATCGTGTTTTATATGTTGAACTAAATTTTTTTAATATAAAAAAGTAAAATATGCAGGTGTTATTGATATATATTTTATTTACATGTAATATTTTGAACATAAATTTAAAATTTATTTTATATATTAAATAAAAAATAAATTAACAATTATGCGTAAAAAATATTAAAAAAATTTGAATTCTAATCAAATACTAAGTTGTTAAATAATAAAAAAATAACAAAAAACTTTATAAAAAGAATGCTTGCTAAAAATATTATAATTTTATTTAAAATAATCCTAAAGTTAAATGGTATTAATGGAATGATATAATAAAAATAATTGTATTTATTTTATTCTATTAATTTTTTTTAAAATACTAATAAAAACACCCACCAAACTTGGCCTTAGAGGCCAGCTGTTTTGCCTTGACTACGCGTTGCCCACTAATTCACTGTTTGAACGCCTTAAGAGGTGGCGACAAAGTCAATCAAGACCTCAAGTAGCTTATAAATCCATTTTCTCACCATTTTTTCAACAACAAAGAAAAAGAAATACACCCTCCAGATTTTATTAAACCCATTTAAAGTCTTAAATCATAATTTAATCAATGCAAAAATTAAAAATTAATTTGAATCCAAAAATATTTTCAAGCACCGAATTACTTTTTCAAAAAAAAAAATCTCAATAAAACTCTTCTCATTAAATAAAACACATTAACATAAAAAATAATTATTTTTGTGGTCTGGCCAATCCATAAATTT